GGGTGTGCCCTGTCGCCGGCGCCCGGGTGGTCTGTTACCACCACCAGGGCGCCGAGAAACAGTCCTTTGACGGGCACACCCCGCCGCGAAGCGATGCCCTGGACCGCCAGCCGACACACGTGGCCCCAGCGGACACCAGACCGAGAGCCGGCATGGTGCCGGGGCCGCGGACGAGAGGGGGGAGGGAAAATGAAGCGGAAGCTGAACGCCGGAGTCGTGGGCGCTCCGAGGAGGAGCCCGCCCGTGCCGATCGGGGCATGGCGGCGAGGCCGCAGTCTGGGAGGTGCTCCGCCTCTGGGCTCCTTCATGGTGTCGTCGTGGACCTGTGTTCTTGTCGGACGTTTGCGAGCAGGCACGTCGCGAGCAGCGTGAACGCGCCCGGTGGCGCAAGGGGGCGGCGCGAGGGGGGCGGTCTTCGGAGAAGGCAGCGGAGAGGCTTCTTGCAGGGCAGGGGCCTTCGTGGAGGGGCCCGGCGCCTTCTCGGAGGGCGCGCTTGAGAGGGCTGGGCGGCCTTCGGAGGGGCCACCCTGCCCTCTTCGAAGCAACCCCCCCAGCCTTCTTGAAAAGCCGCCCCCCTCGCGCCGCACATCTTCCGGGGCGCCGCCAGACAATCTGAAGGCAGGCGCGCTCCACCACTCGCAGAGGAACTGCTCGCGGATGGCCTGGATCCTGCGCGGGGGACCTACGATCTGTTACAGCGAGGCCAACACATATTCTGCGGACGTTTGCGAGGAGGCACTTCGCGAGTAGGGGAGCGCGCTCGGCGAACCTTGAATGACTGGCTCGATGATCCTCAGAACGTGCGTTGGCGCCAACGTGTGTTTGCCACACGAGGCCCTTCCACACGGCGCAGGCGATGTCATGATCTAACGCTGGGGCTGAGCGGGCTAAGCACACACATTGGGCTAACACGCTTCCTGAGCAGTATCATTGATCGGGGGCTCCTTGATCGCAAGGTCGTTCCGTGCTGACCGATTCCCGGCCGCCGCAGGCGTTCCGCCCCCAACTGAAGGGGCCCCAGGACACACAAATAAATGCACACAAATAAAAATATCCCCCATATTTCCATCTATATTTTCTGGGGTTCTGTCTTCCCCCCCACTTCCCATATTTTCCGATATTTTCCTGGGGGGCGAGGATTAATTGTGTCTGTGTGTCTTTTCCCCTCCTGACCCAACGCCACGCGGCGGAGCCGCTGACCCGCGTCGGCGCGGCACGACGCCCGCGGCTTTGCTCCGGAGCACGGGCGGCGGCGTCCTCGCACCGCGAGAGCCCCATGAGAACGCTGGCCGCGGGACTGCAAGCCACGGTGCAGCTGCGAGGGGACCTTTCGAGGCTCCTCAGGACTTAACGGGCGAAGAACGGTACAAGATAAACTTTTTCGCTGTCGGGGGCGCCTGTCCCAGGGCGGCTGGAAAGTTTATACTCTGACGGCGGCACCGTGGGGGTATAAACTTTCAGGCCGCCCAGGGACAGGCGCCCCCGACAGCGAAAAAGTTTATTCTATACCGTTCTTCGCTCGCTGAAGGACGTGCGTCAGCGCAAGCGTGCGCTTGTCGTCCGAAGCCCTTCCATACGACGCGGGTGGCGTGACTAATGAGGCCCGACACACACTGCGCGCCGTCGCCGGAGCTCAGCGGGGTCAGCACACAGTAGGCTGACACACGTGCAGAGAATCATCGGACCTGGAGCGCAGCCTCAGGCCCGGCGGTGCTCAGCGACTTCCCGCCGAAAAGCATCCTCGCCCCATGAGCATCGTGGGGCCGCAGACTGCGCAGGCACAGAAGGGTTGTGCAACCCCTGGTCCGATGCGAGAGAGCAAGTCACAAACCGAAGCGGACGACCACACGAACACATGCGTGCGCGCTCGGAGTACATCGCCACGGCCCTTCAGAAAACGCACTGAATGTGTTTGACATATCTTCACATGCCAACTGCACGCCCTACACCGTCTTGACGAATTGGAGGACTATGCTGACACCGCCCCAGGGCCGGCCTGAACGTCCGGTGGGAGGTGAGCTTCTGCCGGTCCGCCGAGGAGAAGAAGGAGTTCGGGTCGAACAGGAAGCCTCCCCGCTGCTTGAAGGGCACGCCCAGACGCCCGACGTCGTGATTTGTTGAGCAACGCGGCTCCCCAAAAGATCTGGACCTTTCCCTGGGGACGGGCTTTCATCCTGAGCCTTTCTTGACGGCCCGGAGGCCCGGTGAAGGCCCCTAGAGGCCGAACACCGCCAAAAAAGCTTCCGTTGCGAGGTCCGGTCACGACGCGAGGATGTCAGGGCCACACCAGCCGGACCAACGGACATCGCCCCCGAGGGACCCGTCCATTAACGGGCGAAGCACGGTATAACAGAAACTTTTTCGCTGTCGGGGGCGCCTGTCCCAGGGCGGCTGGAAAGTTGATACTCCTACGGTGGCACCGTAGGGGTATAAACTTTCAGGCCGCCCAGGGACAGGCGCCCCCGACAGCGAAAAAGTTTATTTTATTCCGTTCTCCGCTCGCTGAGTCCGGGCATCCGCGGGCGCAGGCGCAGGCCTCGGGCCCATACCGCGGCAGCTGCCCTTCGGGCTCTCCCGCCTCCCGGCGCGCAATCTGGCCTCCGACGGGCGGCGCCACGGACACGACCCTGGGCGAAGGACCGGGGCCCCGCAGGGCCGCCGCCTCGGCCACTCTGATGATGAGGAGCAGGAGGAGGAGGAGGAGGAGGAACAGGAGGAACAGGAGGAAGAGGAGGAACAGGAGGAGGAGGAGGAGGAGGAGGAGGAGGAGGCGGAAGAGGCGGAGGAGGAGGAGGAGGAGGAGGAGGAGGAACAGGAGGAGGAGGAGGAGGAACAGGAGGAGGAGGAGGAGGAGGAGGAACAGGAGGAGGAGGAGGAGGAGAAGGAACAGGAGGAGGAAGAGGAGCTGGTGGTTCGAGTGGTCCGCCCTCTGAGAGGGCGCTGGGTGGACTTCGCCGAAGGCTGGAGGCCGCCCGCCTCGGGCCCCAGCAGCCCCCCTCTGCTCGCCGCCGCCGTCGAGCCCGACCGCCTCTTCCTTCCATAGACAAGCGCGCTCCACTACTCGCAGAGGAAATGCTCGCAAATGGCCTGCATCCGCCGAGGGGCATTTGCCAGCCATGACATCGAGGCAGACGCTTGTTGTTTGGACCTTTTGCGAGTAGTGAAACGCGCTCGGCGATTCCAGCCTCACCTGCAGCTGGTCTCCTGTGCCAGCCTTGCTCCGTCCCTTGCCAGGCGCGAGCCCGGCATCTGCTTCTGGGCTCGCCGCATCGTCGAGCGCTCGTCACTTCAAATTCGTCCGCACGCGCTCATCTGCTTCCATCGCTCTGCTGATTATCATCCCTCTCATCCTGCTGCTCCTCTCATCATTTTCCTCCTCCTCTTCCTCCTCTTCCTCCTCCTCCTCCTCTTCCTCCTCCTCCTCGCACTCCCTCCTCCCTCCTGTCTCATCCATCTTTTCGTCCCATTCTGCCCCTCTTCCAGCTCAAAATCGTCAGGATCCCCCTCCTCCTCCTTCTCAGTCTCCTCTCTGCTACCTCTTGCCTTCTCCCTTCTCCCTCCCTCCTTATTCCTCTCTCCTCTCGCCTCTCTCCACCATCAACTAGAGGAACGAAATCGCCATGTACGCTGCAAGCCCAAAAAACAAACATCCACGCTCATCCTGATCTATCCTTCCTCCTCCTGCTTCACTTCGCCATCTTCTCTTCCTCCTCATCATATTCAGCCCTGACTCCAGCTTGCTTCTGCGCGAGGCCCGTCCAGCCAAGCTGCGTAAATCCGCGGACGAGCACGGCCGCGTCTGGAGCGTCGCCGTTGGAGACGTGCCGGCGGTATATGGACAGCACCCTGGCATTGCGGTTGACCCCTCGCTGCGCATGCTCCCCTATTATCGTCCTAGCACACTTCCTTCCCACCACCACCACCACCATCAGAATCGACATCATGATCATTTCCATCATCACCATGTTTTGCTCCTCATCATCATCGTCATCATCATCATCATCATCATCATCATCATCATCAGCATCATCATCAGAAACAGAAACAGCAGCATCATCATCATCATCATCATCATCATCATCATCATCATCATCATCATCATCATCATCATCATCATCATCATCATCATCATCATCATCATCATCATCATCATCATCATCGTGATCATCATCGTGATCATCATCAACATCATCATCGTCATTGTCGTCGTCGTCATAATAATAGTCATCATAATCGTCAGCATCATCATCAATATCATCATCATCATCAGCAGCAGCATATTCATCATCAGCAGCAGCAGCATCAGCAGCATCGTCATCACCATCATCAGCAGCATCATAATCATCATCACCACCACCATCATCACAACCAGCATCATCATTATCATCACCATCACCATCACCATAACCATCATCATCAGCATCATCAGCATCATCAGCATCATCATCGTCAGCATCTTCATCATCGTCATCATCATCGTAATCGTTGTCATCGTCATCGTTGTCATCAACAACAACATCATCATTATCAGCATCATCATTATCATCATCATCATCAGCAGCAGCATCATCATCATCCTCATCATCCTCATCATCATCATCACTATCAGCACCATCATCATCATGATCAGCAGCAGCAGCGTCATCATCATCATCGTCGACATGATCGTCATCATCGTCGTCGCCATCGTTCGTCTCTATGAACAGCATTACCATCCTTACCGCCACGGCAATCCTCAACATGAGCATGATCATAAACCTGGAAATACTCAGCATGACTGCCAACAATATAATCACCAGCAGAAGCAGCATCAGCATGTTAGCATCATCAGCAGAATCAAGCATTCCCGTCATAATCAACATCATGATCATCACCACCAGCATCATCACCACCACCACCATCATCATCATCAGCATCATCATGCTCATCATCATCATCATTATCAGCATCATCAGAATCATCATCAGCATCAGAATCATCATCCTCATCATTAGCATCATCATCATCATCATCATCATCATCATCATCATCATCATCATCATCATCATCATCATCATCATCATCATCATCATCATCCCCATCATTATCATCGTCGTCGTTCTCGTCGTCACTCTTGTTTTTGTCCAAACGTGAAGTCCGTCGACCACGACTCCTTCCAGTTCGCGGCCTGCTCGCCTGGAGTGCTGGCGGAGCAGTCCCAAAACGGTTCCAAGAGGGCTCCTCGGGGCATAAAAGAGGCTCCCTGAGGTGTCTGGTTCACCATTGTTGGCCTCTTCGCTGCACTGCACACTTCTCAACTTCCAACCTCTGGACAACTCGAAAGGGCATCGCTTCTGGATGGACTTGTGGGCCTGGCACCAAGTCGTGAAGGCAACAAGCTGGAAGAAGATGATTTGGGAGAAGCCCAGCGGCCAAGACGACGCGCATTTTACTCATTTAAGCTGAGCGCAGATTACATGGGCTCGCCAGATTCGGAGGTAGAGGAACGGGTTCAGACGCACGGATACTAAAACTGGCGAAGAATGTACACACCACGAAAAATCAAGGTCGAAACCCTACAACTGTATATAATGGCAGCATGCGTTGTACCTGCTGTGTCTCGCCTGCCCGCAGGCCCTTGCTCGACCCAGGCGGCATTGAGAAGACAATGTTGAGTACGGTCCCGAGCCACCTCTGCAGTACCGTGCTGTCCTCACTCTTCCGACCTGCGCACAAATCTGGTGGACAGCGCGGGCCTCTCAGGTGGCTTCACAGCCTCACACCGAGAGGTCCATCGATTGACTGACACAGTTGATCGTGTGCCGAAGGAAAAAGTAAAAGCGCGAGAGCTAGACTGGACGAGCAAAAACCAGGGCTGGTACGAGATCGCTGGTCGAGCGGGAACCCTAAAATGGTGGGGCCGACGGGGAGATTTGTCGATCGGCACGGACTGGCTGGCACGGCCACGAAGGGCGGGGGCAGGAAGAGCGGTAGCGCAGGAAACACCGGGCTCGCGGTCGCGGCTGCAAGCGCGACCATGAGCACAGTGAAGCGGCTGGGTTTTGCTAGAACCCCCTCGCGTCGCGTTAAGCCAGCGCGGTTTGGATCGCTCTCAAGCTTTGAAGACCACGATATGGGAACCCCAACGGCCCCGAACTGCACAACGGCCGCACGTCGATATCAGATACGCGACGCGTAAAACGGGCGGCAATACAGACGACCGGTTGGTGATTGCAACAACCGCCCGTGCAGGATGAGGAAAAGTCTCGGCGGGTGGGAAAGGGAGAAGGACGTGCGCTATGAAGCACCAACGCTGCGAAGGGGCAGCCGGCCACACACACACACACGCACGCACACACACCTCTGGGCGGCGCGGCTGCGCGCGCCACGTCGAGGCGCAGACGGTCGGAGGGCGGAGAACGCAAAGGGCGGCCAGCCCACCCAAGAAACGGGGGCAGGGATCCACCGCCAGGGATCAACCGCGCCACGGGCACCGCCAGGGATCCACCGCCAGGGATCAACCGCCAGGGATCAACCACCGCCAGGGATCCACCGCCAGGGATCCACCGCCAGGGATCCACCGCCAGGGATCCACCGCCAGGGATCAACCCGGGCATGGGCTGCGCAAGGGGAGAGGGGAAGAAACGGGAAGGCGCCAGAAGGCCGGTGCCGACAGCACGAGGGGAGCAAGGCCAGGCGCAGTGACCATACAGGCACTAGCCACAGGGGGGCGATACACGCACACCCACATACACACAGTGAACGACCGCGGCCTGGAAAACGCCCAGCCAACCGGCCTCGTCGCATTGCTCTACGCGAGCAAGATTGGAGCGGCAACGAACCGTACGGCAAGTTCGTGTCTTGCCGACCCTGGAGTTGGTTCCTGACACCGCGGGGAACGTTCAACCTTGAACAATCGGCTGTTTCCGAACCGTCAGATCGTTCGTTCATCAGCGGCCGATTCTTGGTCGCCAGCGGCGTTCAACGTTTTTATCTTTATTTTTCCATTTTTTTATCCAGCGGCGTTCAACGTTGAACGCCGGCGGCGGGGTCGTCGCCAGTCGACACGACGCGAACCCACCGTACCTGAATTCCCACGTATCCTCGGGAGCGGGGCGTCGCAAGCGAGGGACGAAGAGCGAGGGCATGCCCAGCACAAAAGATGCAAAGGCGTGGTCCTCGTTCGCTCCAACACGGGCGCTGCCCGCGGGCGAGGAGCACAGGCAGCCGCGGGGAGAAGGCAGGCAAGCAGGGCGTCAGCCACGCCAGCGCGGCGAGCAGCTCAGCGGAATCAGCGGTATCGCGAGCTCGTCCACAAGAAACCTTCCACAAGAAACCCAACCCTGACCCCCAGGGTGATGATTGATTTTTGGTGTGGGAACGTCACGCTGTCCACATCCAGGGCACGACGTGGTGGACAGCTGGTATGAACGCGGTCATGGAGGCGATGGAGAACTGGAGCCTGTGTCATCGATGCGAAGCGAGAGCGAGAGCCATTGCGGCCGTGGCGTTGGAGCCGAAGCTCCGCTACCAACTAGAAAAATGGTTGTGAGAGGTGAGTATGAATAGGGAAACGAACTCTATACACCGACGCTTTTACCGACCCTGCGCTGAAATTCGCATAGGAACGCGTATTCTGGTGTATATGGGATGCTGGTGTATACGTTGTTCGTTGTTTTCCCGGGACGTCTGGGAAAAAAGTATACACCACACCACCCCAGCGTCGTCCCCGACCCTCAGAAAGTCCTGGGATTCGAGAAACAGCCCGCCACTGGTAATGCATACGTTCCAGTTTCCGATATGCAGGCGGACCTTTCCGGGCAGGCGGAACGAAAGCAGTGGAACGCGCGAGTACAGCGGGCACGGACGCAGTACTGGCTTGAACCAGCACAGCGGCAGGCCCCGGCAAGGAGAGGGTGAAAATGGGCAGAGCAGGTACCGTCCGAGAGTGGCGGGGAGGAGGGCTCGGCGCCGACCAAAGAAATCCGCGCGGACGTCCGCATGGTCACGTGTTTGCCGTGTGGGGACTTTCCCTCTGGATGCACCTTGCTGTCCTCCACGTCGTCAGCCTCCCTGGCCTTCCGCGGGCCCAGGGGTATCGACCCCTTCCATGGTGGCGGATGGTTCGTCCCGGAAGAATGTTTGAGTTCCAGGGCAAGACAGATACCTACTCCCAGAGGCCAGAACCTACCCAAAATCGCAAGAGTTGAGAAATTCCTTCCGCCCAGAGGTCTGGGTCTGCCCAAGGGGCAGCAGTGGGTGCCCGACATTCGAAGAGTCTGCCAACTCTTGACCATTTCGGATGCATCCTGGCCCCCGAGGGCATGTCTGATCGTTGCCAGGGAAGCATCCGATGGTGCTCCGATGGTTCCCAGAGACCCCCTGAGGCTTCTGGAGCAACAAGATGCGGGCCCCAGGAATATACACCACCACGTCGATTCTTCATCCCTCCTCTACACTCTTATTCCCCTCCTCTTTCTTGGGAGAGGGCGGGGGTGAGGCAGGCGGTGGTGGTGTATGTATTCGGGCCCCGTACAGGAGCCCAAAACCGTTCGAAGACGTCCGCCCTCTGACTCGAGGCTCGGGTCAGCGCTGACCCCGGCTGGCCGCACAGTGGCCCCCAAAATGCCGGGTCAGCGCAGGGATCGGAGCAGGGGGCGACTCCGCCAGAAACCTTGAGAACACAAAATGGCGGCGTGCCATTCCTGCCTCCTGCCGACCTTCCGCCAGCCTCCGGCCTCCCGGAGCCGCCTCCATCTTGCCTCCGCCAACCTCCGCGGAGCCCCGCGGTCTCGGTCTCTGGCTGCTCCTGGGGCCCCCGGCCTCCGGAGGCCTCTGGAGGCCTCTGGAGGAGGAGGGGGGGGAGGAGGGGGGGGGAGGAGGGGGGGAGGAGGGGGAGGAGGGGGGCAGGAGAGGAGGAGGGAGGAGGGGGGAGGGGGAGGGGCAGGACACCCGAGGGCCGCGGTCCTCGAAAACCTCGGGCCCCGGGCCCCGCACAGCTCGAGGGCGGAAGAGGGCACCGGGCCCCCGCCGCTCCTGGCAGGGTTGGTCATCACCGCGCTCGAGGCCATGTCCGCCAGGTCGACCGCGACGATGTCCTCCAGGGCCCACCCGGCCAGGCTTCCCCATCCACCGCCTCGTCGTCCCTCCCCTCCTCTCTCCACCTCCTCGTCATCCTCTCTCTCTCTCTCTCTCTCTAAGTTCCTCCTCGTCACCCTCTTCCGTATCCTCATCCTCCTGTTTCCGGAAAGCTGGCTCAGTGAGGCCCGAAGGGCCCCAAAGGTGCAGGAAAGGTGAGATGTTCTTCACCCCCGTGTACTTCCCCCGTCCGCCCGATCATCCTCATCCTCGTTATCATCTCTTCTCCTCCTCATCCTCCTCCCTCTCCTGCTCCGAACTATCCTCATACCCCTCCTCGCCGATCCCCCCTCCGACCTCCGATTCCCGAGTCATCCCTTCTCATCCATCCTTCCTCGCGCTCCCTCTCGCCTCCATGCCTCTTCCTCAAATTTGCCGGCCCAACGGGCCACAAGAGTGCTAGATGCTGTAGACAGGCGAGGCTGGTCAGAGTGTTGAGAAATCTAGTCCCTGCGCGCGAAGGCGGCCCCGGGGGGTCTGCGGGCCCACCAGGGGCCGAAGTGGGCCAGTGCCTGACGGCCCCATGCTGGCCCCTGGACGACCCTCGGATGGCCTCAAGCTTAACCCGATCTTGCCCCAGGACGACCCAGCACGGTCCCAGCCAGCCTAAGTGGACCTCGTCGACGGTCAAAATGGCTGCATGGACGCCCTCCTCCGAGGCTCCCAGGGAGGCCAGGAGCATCGAGAGCACACCCCGTTCTGCTGCTCTGGGCCTGCCTCTGCGGAGCCGCCGCGGCCCGTGCCGCGGGGTCGCCCGGTCGCCGCAATCCCCGCACGCCGGCGTCTGCTCCTGCGGGGGCACGGCGCTGAAGATGTCGGTCTGCAGGAGCTTCGTGGGCTGCCTCGCCCTCAGGGCGTCCAGGTTGATGTCGGTGGTGTTGGCCTGTGGCGGAAGGGCGGGCCCCGCAGGGCCAAACGGGAGGGTGGGCGACTGCACACTCTGAGCCATCGAGAGCGCACGATTCTGGGCGTCGGTGGCAACTCGCGGGAGCCTCCCATGCCATCTTGCCGGCCATTGCGAATCGGCGCCGACAGATGCTAATCGACGCTGGTCGACGCGAATCGACGCTGAATCGACGCTGAATCGGCGCTTTCTCGCCGATTGCCAGACGCTAATCGAGGCTAACGCACTCTAAAAACATGAATACGAGGGTATGCAAGGCCGCCATGATGTGCTACCAAACTATGTGGAGGAAGAGCAGCAACAGCAGACGCAGCCCGGGTGAACAACGAAGTGGCGGCTGAAAGAGGTTCGGGAAAGGCAGGACAACGTGGTGCCAACGAGCAGATCAGAAATTCTGCCTGGATCACGTCGCGCTCGCCGAAGCCGCGGAATCTACGATTGAATCACGCCGCTCCTCTCTATGGTCTGCTCCTCCATCACCCGTGTCCCCCATCCGTGCGTGCAAGCTGTGTCAACACTTTCTCGACATGTTCGATGGTCGCTTCTCCCGTCCTGAGCGAGAGGCCTCTCCAGCCTCACCCATCCAGGAGACGAGGAAGCCTGAGGGAGAAGGGCGCAGAGAGGTGAAAACAACAGAGGAAGCAGGAGGGGAAGGAAGAGGAGACGGGCGAACAGGACGATGCCAAGGAACATCGGCACGTCGACAGTTTGCACGCGATCCATTTGACAGGGTCGCCACATAATATCCCGATCCCGACGAAACTGCAGCTAGCAGAGAATCAGACCGCACAACACTGGCACAGCACACAAGGCACAAATCTGCCATACAGCCAACAAGTTGACCCAACCCAGAGATCGCAGTCGATGTCGATATGCAGTGTGAGACACCACAGACGTCCTGATGTAGAGAAGCCCTAACTTATACACGTGTGCGAGGAGGAGTTGGAGGGGGTGGAGGAAGAGGAGGAGGACAAGGAGGAGGAGGAGGAGAAGGGATGAGAAGGACGAAGGGGAAGAGGAGGAGGGAAGACCAATGCAAACCAAAAACCCATGAACGATGTTGGAATACACCCCCCCACCAAGCTCCCTCTTCATCACAGGCCCCTACACAGGCTCATTTTCACTGATGGAATTGCCCCGAAGGGGACAACCGTGTGAAAATCCTGAAACATGTCAAAACACCATTCCCAAGACTTGAACGCCACGGGTCAACCTGACTGTTGCGCCTTGACGGTCCTGAAGCGTGCCAGAACACCAGTCCAGGCATCTCAACACCGCGAATCAACGTAACTGTTGCGCCCTGGCCAACCTCAATATTTCCCAAACCCCACTTCTGGAACGCTAACCGTGGGAATCAACGGCACCCTTGAACATGTCTAAAACGAGTGTGCGCGGCGCTGAAGCGAAAGCCACATGTTGAGAAAACAAAACGCCCTCAACCCGTGAAACTCCTGCCATGGTTTAAGCGAATAGGCGCGGCGATAAGGCGAGAGGCACATTTTGAAAAGGAACCACCCTCAATCCGTGAAACTCTTGCAACGTATTAAAACGAATACGCGCGGCGCTAAGGCGAGAGCCACATGTTGAAGACGATCCGCCCTCAAAGAAGAAACTTCTGCAACGTTGTTAACGAATGCGCGCAGTCTTAAGGCGACAGCCACATTTTGAAAACCACCCGCCCTCCACATGTGAAACTCTTGCCAGCTTCAAACTTCAGGCTCATAAATGGTAAGAGCATCTCAGGCGAAACACCCCACTTTCCGACTGGCCTCGGGGTGCCACAGGGAGGAGCCTGTCATAAAGAAAAGGAATGAAGGGAGGAGAAAGGAGAGAGGGAGGGAGGGAGGAAAAAGAGGAGGACGACGATGAGGAGGATCTGACGAGGGTGCTTGCCAACGAGGTCTGTCTTCAAGATCGGATCGCTTCCAAGTACGCTCCTGTGGGGGCCAAAGCTGTTCGAAACGAACCGAGCATGTTCTGAGGGTGGAGGGCTAAGGGTGAAATCTGAAATGCCGTTTCGACGGCTTCTCGAGGCTGGAAGCTGCAAGAGGCGAATCACAAGACGGATTGGTTTTCGAGGTGCAGAAGCCCATCTGGATTTCACCCTGAGCCCTCCACCCTAAGAAAATGCTCAGACGAAAGGAACATCGGACATGATCACGCCTCGGGTGGGCGGATCGACCAGCACGTTCGATAAGATAAGATGAGGCAGGCAGGGAGGAAGGTTGAGAGGATGAGCCAAGTCCTTCGTCGGCACTGTGAAAACTGGTACGGTCAGGAAAATGGCCAGGGCAGGCATCGAGGCATCCTTCCCGTACGGCATGGCTGTCACAGGCTGCAACAGTACGGAGTCGGAGCCTGCTCGTGCTGGGCTGTCTCTGCGGGGGAGCCGCGCACTGCAGGCAAGAGTAGCAAGCTATCATTGATGTGGCATCTCGGCTTTGATCTGTTGTGAAGGGCTACGGCGTTTCCTGTTTTGGCCTTTGTTCGGGCGATCTGGGAGCTTTGGATCTCGAAGAAGGAGAAGGTGTCGGAGGTGTCTGTGCAAGGAGTGCTGGACATCAAACAAACGCTGGACGCAGGTGCATGGCCCTTCCGGAGCCGCGGGGCTTTCTTTGGAAAGGGTCAGATGGTCTGTTCTGAAGCCTCCCAGATGTCTTACGCACGAAGTAGACATCATCGAGGTTGAGGCCGTATATCCTTGGCACATGGGCAAGCTGCTGGACAGAGCGGTCAGAGCGTTTTTTCCGGCGGACACTCGAAGAGGCTTGTGAGCTCAGGCACATGTTCTACATACGAGTGTGAAGGCCATGAGAGGCTTGTCTTGTCCCTGAGGCCAGGGGATATCTGCGCTCGGTCATGGTCAATTGGCACTGGCCCATGGCTCGAAGATATTCGGTTTACGTGCGCCGGGACAGCGACGACGGAGGTGACCAGGCGACTGGGGGCAAGTGGACTGGATATGGACCCACGCGTCAATTTGGAACTAAATCATATATTCCATGTGCGTCCTCAGCAAGCTCATGTATCATTTGGATTCTGCACGGTTGTTGAAAGCAGACAAATCAAAATTGGACTACTTCCAATGCAAATGCTTGCGACGGCTTCTTGGTATTCTCTCCTCGTATATTTCTCGCGTTCGCCACAGTGACGCGTTGCAGCGAGCGCGTTGCGAACGCGTCATCGAATCGCCAGGCTCCAGGACCCTTTCCTGATCAAAAACATCTTGTGCGATGCGGACGGCATTCACGAAAACTGGGCACAGCTCCGGAAACAAGGGCGGCCGCGACATCAGTGGGCGACTTGAATGTACGATTTGTCTTGCGTGTCACTCCACTCCGCCCGCTCCTCCTCCTCCTCCTCCTTTTCCCCCTCTCTGTATGGGCACGGGAAAAGCAGAGACGAGAAAAAAATGCGCTCCGAGCTTCTGCTTGGCTCTCTCGCTGCCTGGCCGCGTGGCCGATAGCGTAACCAGATCATTTCGTGGTCGGCTGATTCCGCAGCCCGTCCCCGTTCCGTGTCCGAAGGCCAGTCTCAGTGACAGCGTTTGGCCGTCGAGCCATCCAGCCGTCGTGGTCGACGAACGGGCGCGCCGCAGCGTGCGGGCCCTCCTCGCCTCCCTTCCCGCTCCCTTCCCGCTCTCCTGCTTCGCAGTCATGATGCGCTCCGTTCTTCTGCTTCGCCGTCGAGCCTCTGTGTGAACGCAGTCATTCAGCGAGGCGCTCCTTGCCTCGACACGAGGGGCCGCCAATCGTGCGGTCACGCGTCCTTCTGGATGCTCGGCCCAGCCCTGCCGTGCCACGGTGGAACGCGGGCTCTGGATTTGGACGCCCGAAATGGGTACGGAAAAAATGGGTACAATGCCCAACAACACATGTTGTCCCAAACCAACAGCGGCCGCTGTTGGGCAGGCGGCCTCCTGTCTCAAATAGACACAGGCCGCGGCGGCGTGGACAGCGAGTCCTGTTCAAAACGAACAGGAACTGCTGTTGGGCATTGTACCCATTCTTTCCGTACCCGTGTCGGTCGTCCCGACTGGAAGGACGAAAGCTCGTTGCCGCACCGTGCGGGCCCTCGTGCGGCCCCCCGAGCGCGCTTGGCGCCAGCTGGGAGAAAGAGACCCACGCGCTGGAGGGCCCCCGGTCTGGCCCGCAGGTCGCGCGGCGGCAGCCTGCGGGGTAAAGGGGGTCAGCACTGCCAAGACTGCCTGCTGGCACGGCTAGGGGGCCACATGCGAACCCTACCCCTACCCCCCAAGTTTTCTGAGGGGCAGGGTGGGTTCACTTCGCTTGGGAGCTCCCGAGCGAAGTGAACCCCACCCTCCCCCTCAGAAGTCGTGGGGGGTAGGGGTAGGGCTCGCATGCGGCCCCCTACCGGCTCTGTCTTCTCAAATCGGGAGCGGCCAAGAGGGGGGTGTCCAAGAGGGGGGGATGCCAATCATGACCGGCGGCATGGGGCCAGGGGCGAGATGAAATAGGAAAAGGCGCCATGAGATCTGGGGAAATATCATGGCCCCCGCCATGATATCCACCCCCCCCTAGTCATCACCACCCCTCTTTGCCGCCCCCGATCAAAGGGGGGCTGGGAGGCGGGGGCGGGGGCGGGGTGGGCGATCGTCTCTCTGCCTTCTGATAGCCCCCTGGGGGTTGAAGACGTCGTGCATGGCCTGCGTACCCCCAGGTCGGGCGTGTCCCCCTACAGGCGGATATTGGGCGAAAAATGAAAAATTGCCGAAAAAAGTTTAAAAGAAAACGTTCACAAGTAAATATAGAATCGTCCCCTTCCTATGTTTTGACTATTTTTAGATTATCCTCCTGTAGAGGGGCACGCCCGACTTAAGCGTACGGGCCCTGTCAGAGACAGCGACTGGCGGAGCTGCAGGCGCTTGTTGAGCAGCTGCGCGTTTCGAGGCCCCCCATCGAGGCAGTCACAGACAGTACGTTCGTGTTTGAAGATGCGCGTGCGTGAACATGGTACTG